AAAAAAAAAAGAAAAAAAAAAGAAAAGAAAAATGATTCCAGCACGACTTTTCCTCACCATCTCAAACAGTCTCCTGAGCAGGAAACGCTTGCGGACTTTGGGCGAGCGAGGGAAGTTCAGCTCGTAGCACAGCGTTGGAGCAAAGACAAAGTAGTACATGTCTGCAGAGACGGACAGCAGCTCAGRAAACGGGACAATGAAACAGAAATGACTCAGTTTGCATTAAACRGCAGCGGGACGTGTTGGAGTACCTCTGATTGTGAGGTTGCCAGGATAACACACCTTGTGTTCATCTCCTCTAAAGTGCTGCGGTGAYGGACCTGTTGTAGAGGACATGTACAGTTTTAGGTAGAAACTCAGCAGCATGAAACAACAATGACATGAAAACTTGTATTTTAAAACACAACGTACACCCACACTGACATATAGAGCGTTTTTTGTAGGACAATCAACATGTAGGAAATCTGAATTAATTATCTAAAATCTGCAGTGTGACTCATTCACCAGTAGGTGTTGCTCTAACAGCGTGAACTACTCCATTCAGGCTGAATCCCTTCTATCAGTGTTCTCATGCTTGGCCTTTAGGTCAAGTTAAAACGTGAAGGTGACTCCAAGACTTACATGAAAGAGACCTGGAGAGTTTTTTGGCCTTGACTGAGCTCAGCTCCCTGCACCAGAGGTTCACATCCTTATAGGAGTACAGCTTGAGGAAGAGGATGGTGTAAGTACCCAGTGTGACCACACCACCAACTGATGAAAAAAAAAAACAAGAAGTGTTTGTTAACAGGATAATAACAAGAACATAATATCTTCCAGTCTGGCTGCTGCCTTTTATACCAGAGCTTTAGACCGGGGCTATTCAACTGGCGGCCCACCAAAGTTCGGCCCATCATTTGGTTCATTCATCTCTTAAGCCCAAACCCCCAATTTTCTACTTTAATTATTATAAGCTCTTTTAGTTAAACATGGACATGTGTTGTATCAACAGAAACATCAGAATCTTGTCTAAAAACTGCTAAAAACCATTTCTACGCACACTCAAGACAGTTAAAATCACAAGCAGTTTAAGATAAAAGTGAAAATAAAATTGGTTTAAAATTTGGCAARTCAGAGATGTCAAAATATTATTTGTGTTAAATATGAGGCATAAYGTCTTCTTTTTGTCTGATATTGTTTAATTATCACTACTTTTATTAGGGTTCTGTATGTTGTATTCATGATTAAATRCAGCAAAATAAACTATTTCGAAGGTAACAGATCTTTATAATRCTTGGTTTATTTACATAATGACTTTAATTGCTGGATGTTCGGCCCCTGAGCTTTGACCTGCAGTAACTGTGGCCTCTGGAGTGATTTAGTTGAACAGCCCTGATTTAGACTCATCTTATGTTGTGAAACAATGACATTGTAGCTGTAGATAAGATTATGTGTAATCTCATTATACTRCCAGATCTCATGCAATTATTATGTGCTGTGGATGAGTCTCAGCTACTAMCACATCATGTTTTAGMTCAATGTTGATAGWACTGACTAAGTTAWAACCATTTTTGTGTTTGTTAATGTTGATTAGTTGTGGCAGCTATCCTACACTAGAGTGACTCCCAAAGATAATCAGCCGTCGGCACACATCCGGGGATTACTTTCTGAACATCTCTATCAAAATTCATCCATTGGTTCATGAGATATTTTGGTAAAAGACCAAACAACCTTTGGGCAGAAACATTAATGCCTGCCTAGGTCAGGAGTGTCAAACTCATTTTCACAGAGGGCCACATGAGGAATTAACTTCCAAGTTTAACCTCGACTAAACATGAAACGTCATGTTCTTCGTGTCATTGCTCAGTACCACTAACAAACAAGAACTGAGCTCTATGTGGTATTTCCTGCATAGAAACGATGTTTTAACATGTCCTCTTATAAACACTTAAAAGTATGAATACAGAAATATTACTGAAAGTAAGAGTTTTACTCACTGTTGAGTTGGGGTAATTATGAGCTCTCCAACTTTCTGGCAAKAAATTCCCATGAACAAATAAAAGTATTATGGGAGAGGTACAGTAGTTCATGGTCAATGCTGGATTAAAAACAGCTTATTTTGAGACATTAAACCAGGGCTATTTAACTAAATTGCTCAGGGGGCCACACTTACTCAAAGCTAACAGCTCTGGGGCCAGACATGTGTTATCCTTCACCTTTTACATGTGTTTACTTTGTTATATTGAAACATAAAGTTTACAATTAATATAAAATGTATATTTTGTATAACAACTAAGTAAAAAAATAAAAAATGGAGGGRCAGACAGAAGTCACCTGTGGGTCTTGAGTTTGACACAYGTGACCTAGGCCTTTCAGCAACAAGCAATAATAGCCTTTATGTCACAGCCATTGATGACTTATTTCCATTAAAATTCWGGCCATGCACCTYCCTTCCACTTCCTGCCTGTTGTTTTTAGCGTTAGCTGCACAAAAGTTAAAGCATCTGTGAGCTACTGGTATAAAACGTGAGTTGTGTCCACTAACCAGCAGGTACAATAGAGTWGTTAGTTTTTCCTCCATTTTCCTCTTTATAAGGAGTGAAAGGTGACAGCGGTGGATCATAGCAATGCAGGGAAAACTTATCTATAAAAGCTCACGCTCGCGTTTGTAATCTGCATTTCTAATCTGATGATATTTGAGAGCCAGCRTCAGAAATGAGAAGACGGAGGTTACAAAAAGGGAAATGTACAATCCACCCCCCCAACCCAAACCAAACAAGTAGCCTATCAATTTAAAGCCCAGACTCTGCTCTTTCCAACAATATAAGTGTCACAGCTCTACGTGAAAAATTCACAGAACAAGCAGCCAAGGAATAGCGAAAAAGGCTAAATTCTGGAACTGTTCGGTATTTTTTAACCTAGAACTCAGAGAAACACAACAACCCCGCCGAACATTTAAACCAGGGGCGCCCAAACATTTTCCCCAAGAGGGCCAAAATGAAAATCTATCCATGGCTGCGGGCCAAACGCAGTAATATAATACATGAAATACAAATACTTTTTTAAGTAAAGTCCTTTATTTT